GTGAAAGAAAATAAACCTTTATCGTTTCACAGTGCCACTTTATTTGAATTGAAGAACCCAGAAAGCACGGTCGATCAATACGGTATATTTTCATTGTCAGTATTCTTCCTACCTGTCAGCTTCCATTTTAAAATATAACAATAAAAATACAATGAAAACATTACTAATACTTATTAAAAAAAATAGAAGATTAGTCTGAACTTTCGGCTGATGGCAGAAGCAAAAGGTGTTTTTTATGACATATTGTTTGGATAATTATTGTTTTTCAGATATAAAAAAATCATAATTTATCAAATCTAACGCTTCTTGCAATAAAATGATGAATGTGTCTACAATATCTTATTAGAATCACGCTGCTTAACTAATGCATTTTACGACATTACAGTTCGATTTTCCATCTCTAATTGAACTACTTATACGTAGCTTAAATCTTATTTAGACGACAAGGGGCTTTAGTCAATGCCTTGCTCATAATATAGGGCACACGAGGACATATATTCATACTCTTTGATTTCTAAAGAATATTCGTTCCAGGCAATTCAAGGTGGTGGTAAATTTTATAATATCAGTCTATAGATAAATCCTGCCTTCAATTACACATTGTCTGGAATCAGATTGCATAGACATTAGCATGGAGTGTAACTTATGAACAACGGCCACAATCAGAGTTACTGCCCACATTGTGTCATGAATACAATGCCATTTAGAAACACCCACTGTGTACAACTTCCCATTAGATTTTGTATCTTGGCTGTAAATTTGGGACGACTTCTCCCATTTTATCCTATATCAAACATCCATTATATTCATCGACAATCCAATTCTATAAAATGTGATAGTTTCAATCAATATAGCGTCAGAATCTGACGTACCTTACACGTACCTAACTTTGCGTACTCCACTTCGTGAACTGAAGCGGTGCCCAGCAGCGGGATCTGGGTAGATGTAAAAACTACACTCAGGAAATTGGGTTCAACAACACCTCGTCAACACAATACTTCACATGATAATAGGTTAAGTGTACAATGCTAGGGCAGGAATTTTGCCAAGGCAGCGAGGTTTCCATCGTTGAATTCCAAATACCAAGAGATCTTTAATGTGCACTATCAATGTATACACAGAATCTCGGTTCCTCAGAACGACTAGGCACATTTCGCCAATCATTCCCGAAGATACCCATGACCAGTATGTTCCTTCTCAGCCCATGCCGAGAACTTTTGGGTTGTGAGCTAAGTGTCCTAACCACACAACCAACGCCCCCGATCCATGAGTTAACGCCGATGTTTAATGACTATCAGTACATATTTTTAGTATAAGTTGTTTTATTATATAATTGAACAACATATTCTACCAGATGACACAAAATAAATCAATAAATATTTAAATATGAGTTATGTTATCTGACACGAAACGTGTAAATAAACATATTTCATAAGTGAACGAATGTAAAACAATAAATGATAATATATCATACGTCGCCTTGTGTGCCAAAACTATTTTCCTATATACATACAGGTCGAAAATATGGAATTCACAGTATTTCACACGAATTGTGACCGTGAACGTGCTACTTATGTATGAAGACATTAGTCGTTGGTCAAGCCATATTGACCAAAAGCTTTATCTAATGTAGTTAATGGCCGTGCGGACATGTTTGTTAACAGAAACCCTAATGACTGCTTGTGTTTTCAGATAACATGACCTTACTTTTTAGGTCTTTCTCTAAAAATCACCGTTCCCGATAACATGTATGGTTTATTTGAAATAAAGATATAAACACCCCACCTCCATAAAATAGTATAGCTAGCATTAAATTTAAATAAGTTCAACAATTTTAGTTGCACAAAAGACCAAGACACACCAGGACTGAAGTGAATAACATTTGACGAAGAGAAGGTTAATTTAATTCGTGTACTAACAATAACTAATAGAAATAAAAAGACACGTTCAGCGAGTAATTCTATTTCAACCCTCATTTCAAAAGCATTTACGAAAATCAATCTTGAACATTAATTAGTAGAAGTAATTTGAAACAGAGAAAACAACATTTATTTGGAAACCTTGCGAACAAAACAAATTTCGTAATTTGTTCTGTGATGTTTGTTTGGTCTAATTATTTCGTCTATTTTTTCAGACCCTTGTAACAAAAATTATTAGTATAAAATATCGACAAATTATAATAAGTTAAATTCACCTATGCAAAAGATCAAACGAAATCGTTGTACAACGATAGGGTTTGTCTTCTTAATAAAAGTAAACGTCTCAGAATAATTCCAGACTGAAGTCTTTGTAACAATAGTGCAAACAATGGAAACTTAATTAAAAACGTGGCCTGCATGTGATAAGAAACGTCGTTATTAAATAACCGAGTAGTTATATCCAGATATACTATATGTTGTGTTTTGTGTTGAATAGTTAACCGTACTTCTAGATTGTCATTTAAAGATTTCCTTTGAAGATTTGAATGGACACAATGTTCTGAAATTGTTTGAAAATCGTTGTTGCTGTGAGAGGTCGTGAATATATCGATGGGGATTTTGACACCCCATTTTTTTAACAAGGCGAATACTTACTTATCAACAACTGACGAAAGAGTAATGTGGTCTTAATTTTTTACCCCTACCCATTTTTTCTAGGGATTTTAAATCACCAGAAAAGTCTTTTTGTTTAATTTTCTGAAAATGCATCGATTGTGTATATGTGAGTAGCTGCTATAACGGGGCATCATTAGCAACTTGAAACGAGTTTATTATGGCAGAGCATTTAATTAATTGGCTTTTGGAGTGATATGATACACATATTTGAAACATTATCGTAATACGGATACATGTCATTTTTAATTTATTACATTAGATTCTAACCAGATAATGATAACTAGTGTGTGTTATGACTTAGGAGGTAAACAAAAACGCCCCTATCTCAATCAAGCACCAACGAGAAGGTAATATTTTATATTTTGTAGTATAATTTGACAGGATAATCAATGCTTTAATATCACGGAGACAGTTTTAATAACAATATCATTACTTCTAGACTAAACAATATCCCGTGTTATATAGAACTTAATTTTGTTCTATCACATTTAAATTGAAATTGGATTAGCATCCTAAAAGTCATTTTAGGAAATTTCGAAATTATATGGATGGGAAAATAAATTTCTTTACAGTCGTTGTTTGTACAAATGCAGACTAACCCCACTGACCTCCTACCGCCTTGGTCAAAACAGACTTGTCGATCCGAACTTTAATCGAATATTATTGATCCAGTACCTTGACACACAATTTGCCGGAAGATAGAAGACATAACCCTTGCCCCATGTCGGCTTTAAATAGTCGGAGGTTCAATATAATAGTAGCAGTGGGTAACTGGGTAGTTTTTCAAAAAAAAAGTTCATTCTGTGATATCAATCGCACCAGCGAGGATATTTTACATGGCCAAACACATTATTTCCACTGTTGTACATTTCATGTTCGTACGACAGACTCTTATGTTTCTTGAAACATGTATTGGTGTCAATATAGGATCTATATAACATGCATGATCCATAAATACACTTTTTAGAAATGGTCACTCTCCCAAACTAAGACACTCTGTAAACTAATTGACAAGGAAGAATTAATGGTCGGAATGTATGTCCGTAGTAGTAGTAGTAGTAGTAGAACCATTCGTCGTTTAACGTCTGCGTCCACAATAGTGGTATTGTATTGTCTGTCAATATTTAGGAGTTAAAGATGCTAAGTCACATGAATAGTGATAAAAAATCACAACGTGACCGCCATTCTTTTTCTTGTTAATCCAGTCGTCTGCGTCTTTTGTCCTGTTAAAACAGCATGTCTTTGTTTGACAAGTTGATAAGTTCACATGAAACGAGGTGCCAGTTTCGTCTGAATTTAAAGTACAAGTTAGCTTATTTCTAAAGTTCAAACAGTTCGTATCCTAAGAAAGAAATATCTGACGACCTTAAAAGTTAGAAATAGGAATATGATTACTCTTCTGTGATCCTTTATTCGCAGGGTTCTTGCAATGTGTACATAATAAGGAGAAGTTTGATTATTCGGGGAAGGTCGTATATTGTTGTATTTTAATAAAAAGTCTACTCGCCCATTAACAGATTAAATACATGTAGTAAGTAGATGCAGCTACAGAGGACAAGCGGGTTTCATTTACAATGTCGCTTCTTACGATAAGTGCATGACTTATGAACTTTTGATTACGTCATTGAAACACTATACCATCAATTTGAGAATGTTTGGAGAGACAATGTTAAATACACATGTATTTACTACAGATTACGTAAATCACATCACATAATATGTACCTTAACACGTCAACTAGCAGACCTGTTGCCTATTATGTTTTATAAGGTGGGAATGCAAAGTATACAAACCGTACACATAAAATAATATGTCAACAGCAATCCATCTTCTCCGCAACATAAAGTGCGCTTTAAATACAAATACACTACGGGGATAATTTCAAAACTTATTTTTCGTTCACGGTATTATATAATTTTCGGCTGAACAAGCCTCTTTCACGATTATTAAAGTAATCTGACCACAGTATTATCCGTCACATCAGATATCACCAACTTAAACAAAAGCTGGGATTAGTTGAAGCCCGACCCAGACACTGATAGAAAAATACAGATTACATTACGTTTCGTTTCGTGATAATTTTCCCATTCCATAATTTGTCAGTATGTAATTATGATTTAGAAATAGATAACGTGAAAATGATATTCAGCAATTCCTTTCGATACGTGATTGGGCATTGACATAAACGAAACGCGATCATCAGTTCTGTAAATCGAATTAAATTGATTACCTTATAGAATTACAGCCAATGCCAAAGTATATTAATTATGTTGCATGTTACTCAAATGAGGTTGCATCGCGAAAAGCAAGAACACCCCACATCGTTCACGACGCTCCGCAGAATGTTGCCTAAACGCTAAAGCGAATCACGGTAGAAAACTGAAAGATGTAGTGATAATAGCTTACCTTGTGTCCGAACCGTAAATCTTTTGATATATCTAATCTGCATATCACATTCACTAAATATTCTTGAAATATTCCTACATGTGTGAAGAAACTGTCATTGGACCAACAGCCTTCAATATTATCGAAGTCAACACCTAGTTTCCGTAAGAAAACCACACTCTTGGGGTCCATAGCTAATTGGTGCGGTTTGTTTAATAACGCCTTTTTACACAATTCCTCAAATAAAATTAATTTCCTTACTTTACCAGTTTTGGCTGCTATTAAGATTGATAATAACCCTATGGGACCCCCTCCTATAACTACCACAGTCATGCGAGCCTGTCGTTTTCTAATGTTGTCGTATATGGTTTTGGTACAAACAAACCCAGCTACGATAAATGCTGTTAACATTAGCTGCTGTATGACAATCGTGGATTGCATGTTGGCATAATCCAAGGAATCGCAAGTCATGTTTTCCGACTCGTTCTCTTCGTTGGAATCCATGAAGAATAGATGTCTTTCCGTGTGGCAAATATTGCCACTCGACAGCTCCAACTGTGGTGTGAAAGACATCAAACTTTGATAATTATTAGCTATCCTTTAGTGAGGTATATTCTAATACGCGAGGGAAAATACAACTAGCAGACGACACCGCCAATCACGTCACAGGAAAGTAAATAGTGGCCAGCATGGTGAGGCTACCGTGGAAATTCATTATCGCCCTCCTTCATATTAACTTCATCAAACACTTATTAACAAGGTTTCCTCTATGCACCATTCAATATTCCCAATTATATTAGAATAGGAATACGTCCACAGTAAATTAAGGCTTCCGATACTAAAACCTGGCAATTATAGAAGCACACGCAATGTAATTGGACATAGAAACACCTCTTCTGAATTTATCACCGACACCAAAGCCTGACTGAGTATTGGTATGGTGTCCTGTAGAGTAGTTCAAACGGACGAAAGAAACCTTCCTGAAAGAAAATACAATAAAAAAGTTGATTAATTGTGGGAAAATATCGACTGATTCAATATATTCAATGGATTGTTATTGTGTTCTGAATAAACAATAATATCTGGACTGGAATAAGGGTCTAATTACTATACAAATTACTTTGTTTTTTCCAGATTGCTTACCATTAGCCATTACTTAAACCAAACACTGATATCAATACTGGAACAACACACAAAGCGGTTCCGGTATTCCATTATAGGCCAAAACAATAACTTGCCAAATAAATTTCCGGCTTGACCAAATTAAAAGAAAACAACAAACAATTATACAGGACTACTCGACCTTAACATTAATGGACTCCACAATAATTGGTGTTTGAAGTAAATTGATATGATAGGTTATAAATCTGCATGATGGTAATAATTCAACATGTAACCTATCGGCACAGATGCTCGTAGATTATTCCGAAACCCGGGGATATTATGATATTCAACTCTCCAACCAAATTTGACTTTTCTTAGCAAAACACTCTGAACATTATCAGACCTGGAATCTGAGATCCATCACTCTCTAGATTACAACAAGATAACATATCGCTTTTTGTTACGTGGTTACGCCCTTATTCTTCTTTGAGACAAATCAATACAGGTTGAAAAGATGTGACTTTATACCTCGATTCTCGCTAGTCTGTTTCAATAGTAGGCCTACTAGACTATGATAGATGCTCTAGTACTCACAGATGTCAAGCGTTTCACTGTCGTATAACTTTTCACGTTACGTTAGCCCACTGTGTTGTGTGTTACAACTTGCCGAGACAGGTGAGTGTTGGTGATAACTTCCTATCCGTTAGTAGAACACAATACCGTATTGATTGAACTCTGTACAGGTCCTGGCGCTTAGTTCGGATCAATTCACTGAGAAAAACCTGGCTTGATAATTATCTCATAATAGAATTGATTCAATCCGACTTCTCATAGGTCCAAAATACCCTATGAGTGATTAGCCATATGAAGAGGGTTTAAAGGGATATTGCCAAATATTACAGCTGGGTTTAATCCACGCAATTTGATGTAATGTTGACGCCCTGAGCAGGCAAAAAAACTATAATAAAAGCCCGCCGAAACTCCATGTGTATGTTTTTCATCCTGATTCTTATCCAAAGACTATTTTCTTAATATGAATATGCCTGAAGCATCCAGGTATCATGGCACCGCAGAATGTCATCAATTTTAAATTAGCTGTAATTTAACAGACAATTCAAGTAATAATATTACATTAAAGAAACAAAGTCGAAGACAAATCCATCAACAGATGTCTTGCTGAAATGCAGTCCTTAATCATACATTATGCAAGAGCTAAATCTGTCTATTGCAGGTCTTTCTTTAGGCCTGAAATGTTATATCTAAATTATTAATTAGACATTAATTAACTTATTCAGACCATAATCAACTCTCGGTGTCATCGCTAGCCTGCGATGTTTATTGGACTAGGTTCCGATTTGGTTTTCGACTTCCATTCATGATTTAATCATGAAGTGGATAATTGAGACTATGTTTTTTTTTATCGTACCGACTTTAGTAATGATGATCGGGGCTAGGCCGAAAATTCAATCGCTAAAATCTCGGTTCAGAGTGGATCAATTTGACTGAAATTCTCAGCAAATTCCCTTTAATTTATCTAGTTTTTAACTATTATAGTCAGCTCTTTATCTAATCTTCCATAATGTATCTTTAATAAGCCCTTTTATGGTGTTTTGCATCAATGGCCGTTTATCATGTGGTATACCATTCAACAAACTTTCTCTGTGTATTGATAAGTCGGGCAACGTATTGAGTCCATACTCCTGAAATCAAATAACCTGCCCCCCCCCCCCCCGTCATATATACATTTGATAACCGAGTCACTAAATATTACCCCATTTGGGCTTTTTGTGCCAACCCATGCCTCCATCAGATTAAGGATTGGCTGATCAAATACTGTATACAGCAAATAGCGGCTGGGGTTAAATTTTCTAAAGCTCTCTGTCGGCTCTCCTAGCATGTTCTGTTCACAGTCTTGACAGTACCTGATCGAAACAATTTTGAGCAGGGCCCCGTTTTACAGAGAACACACGTAAGATTTAGCTACTTTTCGTGAACCCTCAACCCGGGCCCCATGAGGTTACTTGAGGACAGGTTGAATAACAGGATATTCAATTCCGTCATCGGTTAATTTTTATCGATAATAATACAAATAACATGCGTCATATATAATATGATTGAAAAGAATTTCTTTCCCACATGCTTAGTTCGATAAAGTGAACAAAAAGTGATTTTGTATGTTCTTTAGCTCAAAATTTATTCTTTAGACCTAACCAATATACACATTACATCAATATTCATTTTCTATAATAGGTATTGACATATGTGATGTATTGGATTGTAGCATGGAAAATACCTTGTATTCGTATTGTGAACAGAATTGTGAAGGGTTTTCTCTGTGTCTTTTGTAATGCAACAATTACATTCAAAACTTAGCTACAATTTCCAAGACGTGCGCATAACGGCGTAAGTCAGTTTGACTATAGAAACCACAGTGTTATAATTATACAATGCGTTTGAAAATATGCGTGTTTACAGCATTATTCATTTTTGCGCAATGTCTCTGAATACGGAAGTCATTAATTATGGACTGCACCTGTGGTATTCGTACATGCATGATTAATGCATTTGTCTATACGCGAAGCTGATCGGATTACGGTTGGTCATTTCGGTTTGGAATACCGGAAGTTCTTTGCAAGTGACTCTTCTAATTAATTGAAACAGTGTATGTTCGAAATATCGATATATTTCTGAATTCTTCCTAGAGGAAATGATTCCAACTAATCATAGAATAACTATGCCCCTTTAAGTTTAAAATCTTACGGTATGGGTTACGGTTACTTTAAGATGAGTACTTCGTGTATGGTTAACTTACATAATGATAGATAATTGATCAACAATAATTTAATGTACATATAGTTTATTTCCGCTATCTGAATGAGAGGCTCGATGTGGGTTAAACTTCCATTCAATTATTCAGTAATAGAAAATAAGTAGAATTTTCTTTGCTTAAGATGTTGTCGATGAGAATAGTATCCACTGACGCTAAAAATGTCAGCCCATTAAATTCTATATCCATGCTTTCTTATTCATTATCCTAATTATTATTTATCTCTATCCATCTTCACTCTGTATAATGAATATAATAATAATAGTTTAAGGGATGGATGGATGTATTAACACCGCCAATTACTTGCTTGTTAGTGTAAAATTGTCTTAAACCACCAAGACAGTAAAATAGTAATAAGTGTCTTGGTGTGACTGATTCGGACAGTTCATTTGACGGTCAGTACGAGATTATGATCTGACAGCCATGGGCTATAGATATATAATATCGTAATGAACGGTGGTCATTATGTTGACTTTAGTCACTTGACTTGTGATACCAGACACAAACAACATAATATACATCATCTCCGTGTATTCATGTCATTTCGTTGTATTACAAATTGAGATTTGTTAATCATAGGCGTAACTGATTTAATTGAAAAATTCTGTAATTGAAACGACGTAGAGTTGGTAAAGCGGGGTGTATTTCGTGGGGGAAGTTGGCGTAACATAATGTTCACAGTGCATATCAAAATTGTGGAGAAAAAAAACCCCGGAATATTCGGCGGTCCACCATTAATTCCCTCATTGCCTAATTCTGGTCTCTTTGCCCGGCTTCAACTTTTCCCAAAATTTTCGTTGGGCTGAACGCTTTCCACCAAAGACGGACATCTGGCCATGACTGTGTACCCAAGTTTGTAGGAGGTTGACCACCGAAATTGTAAGTTACACAAACTTTGGGTAGCATACTATATGAAAATGTAACTATCTGTCGTACCAATCACCGTAACCAACCTTAGCTATATTATCCTCCCGCCTCTGAATCATGAATATTTACCAAAACCTGACAGAAAATGCCAATTCAAACTCGTTGTTCAATTTAAGATCTAACGTAAAGAAAGGTTGTCAGGCAACGAAACATACGACCACGGTAGCAAAGTCGTCCGTGCTGATCACAAGGACGGGCGCATATTTATTGTTTTGTAGCTAATGATCTAGCATTTAAAAGACACCAAAAACTGATCAAGAGAAACAACCTATTAGGTTATTATCAGAAATAATTAAAATTTGATTGGCTTCTACCCCTTCCAGATGCTAACATTTATTAAACTGGTAACGTTATACATTTAACTGTTCGGGTTATCGGAAATCGTTGAAAATTACTGGGTTTCATCACATTTCAGATCAACCGGAAAATAACTTTAAGCGCTAGAGGGTCCACAAGTAATCCTAGACTTCTTCATGTCATGACCATAAACACTGTGGGTATATAAGTCTTAAGTAAATTGGAGTTATTATTCGTGAAGTTATTGTCCATATTTGCAAACATTTTACAAGTTAAATTTTTTAGATTTAATTTCAAGCTTCATGTGATTAAAAATTAAATATTGTACGTCACAGTTTCTGAGACAGAATATACCACTGTTTCATCAGAACTCTGATTATTGAGCTATCGTCCGTTTTCAGCAAAATTGCATGAACCGGTGCATACTGGACGACTAAACATATTTAATGGGGTTTCCGAAATCTGATTGGTATTATAGTTTATGTATACAGTAAATTCCCTAATTAGAATCCATTTCTACTAATATTTTATTAAAGTGTGCATTGTTGTTGAGTTCAATAGCCAACAGCCTTCTAATATCGTATGTGACTGTTTCTCGATACATTATGTGACATATATCATACAAGCAGGTAATTCACTGTGTTGAATTTAAGTTTAGTACTAAAATTTAAAACTCATTAAACATCTAATATCACTTATTTGAAATATCTCTTGAGTACTTGTATACGTTAACAGAATTCTCTAAAAGTAAATCGTATATCTACGCAACACAAGATAATATAGTATATTAAACATGCACTAAATCTGCCTATTGCAGGTCTTTCTTTAGGATTGAAATGTTATCTAAATTATTGATTAGCCATTAATTAACTTATCCAGACCATAATCAACTCCTAATGTCATTAGCCTGTGATATTTAGTGGATTTGAATACATTTTGTGATGGATAATTTAACGTAGAAATGGATAATCGAGACTTTGTTTATTAACGTACCAATGTTAGTAATGACGATCAATGTTAGCTAGACTTGCCTAAAATTGAATCGCTAATATCTCTGTTCACAGTGGAGCAATTTGACTGCAATTTTCAGCATGCTCTGTTTTCATTATCTTTTTAAAACTATTATAGCGAGAACTGTCAGCTCATGATCTAATCTTACCTAATGCCCCTTTAAATGGCGTATAACTCTATTCTTTGGAACCTTAAAATCTAAATTGTTTTGCACTCCCTTTTAAAAAAGTTCATTCTAAACAGTTTTTTTTTATTTAATTATTATTTTGTCGTTTATGAATAATTTATTTTTAATAGTACTTGCGCATTGTCTTCTGGGATATGTTTTTCTTTTGTCATTACAAATGGAGCTCGAAAGCATTATATCCGTAGAATACACGACTCGCGTATTGATATTCATTTTCCATTATCTATTTTAAAACTATTATAGAAAAAAATGTCAGCTCTTTATCTAAATCTTACATAATGCATCCGTAACAAGTCTTAAATGAAAAACTTTTCAAATACACAATATCACTGATCTGAAAATACCCCTTGTGTATACATTAACAGAATCACGCTAAACCAAGGGAAAAAAGCACAGAGACTGCTATCGCTCTAACGGGTTTGGTCC